GAAAGTATTAGCTTTCAAGCAGCTTTGACCTGATAACGGAATGAATGAATACATAATGAATTAATGTGTGTGTGTGTGTGTGTGTGTGTGTATATATATATATATATATATACTGTACATATATATATATATATATATATATATATATATATATATATATATATATATATATATATATATATATATATATATATATATATATATATATATATATATATATATATATATATATATATATATATATATATATATATATATATATATATATATATATATATATATATATATATATATATATATATATATATATATATATATATATATATATATATATATATATATATATATATATATATATATATATATATATATATATATATATATATATATATATATATATATATATATATATATATATATATATATATATATTCACATGACAGAACTATTCATTATTTTTCTTTGCAAGACATACTTTGCTTTCAACATACAATATACAATTATAGATCGGTTTTATAAGTTTAAACAAACCACAACTATGTAGCAGTAAAATAAAATGTATGCAGATTTTGTGCTCATCATTAGTTTCAACAGAAGATGGCTTATAACTATTTTTTATAACTTGAGTTTTACATTTAGATATGAAGAGGGCAGAAAAGCTTAACCTTAAAGCTTAAATACTAAATCTGTATTTTTATTCCCTTGGTGAAAAAAATAATCAGTTTTGTGTATGTATTCACATGTACACACCTACACAAGCACAATACAGAGACAAGATTCATAAAATAACAATGGAAGCAGCAAGTACAAAATCATACCTGGTTCATTATCTGCAAATGTAATCAAAATAAATAAAAGTTGTAAAAATGTTTAAGTATTCTTCCTATGGACAGATTATGCTAGGCAACCACTCTAGCTTGTTCAAGAAGCCAGAAACCTGTTGCTTAGCAACAAAAAAACCCTCACAATTGTGTATTCTCTCTCTCTTTCACACACACACACACACACAAGCTGATAACTCAGCAGCCATCATCATGGCATTCAAATATAAAGATACAAAGGCTGTTTTCAATGTGGCTACATTGAAACAGGGATGGATATTTATAGCTTCTTTTCCACACAGAACCCAAGGCCTTATTGGGCCTAGTAATCCAGAAAGACCAATCAAAGCTGTAACCCCATAACATATAGAACATGACTGAGGCTAAATTAGATTGTATAGGTCAATTTATTTTCAGTTTCACAGAAATTAATTTGTAAGTCCTTTCCATCTAGTTTCATGCCAATCTATGCTTTTAAAAGAATGACAAGTTGTATTTTTTAAATATTCTTTCATAATGTCCATCCTAATACACTGGCGGTATTGAGAATGATTATCACATAATTTGAAGCTGGGTAACCTTATATAAATACACTTTCAAGTATGAACCCTGTTAATACACTGATAAATGCAGACCAACTCTTCAATCATCTCTAGATTATTGCAGATCTTTGTTGAGCATATTTCTGAAAATTTATTCTCTTTACCATCTGAATAAAGAGATTTGTTGGAGCCACTCAAAAAGGAATTCATAACCATTTTCAAAACGGTGACCAATCACAATACCTATCTCCATCAGGAATATTGTAATTACCAAGAAATAGTAAAGTCTTATGGCACGTTAGTGATTAGCAAATTAATTATGCCATAATTGTTGGTGGACTATAAACCACTTCATGGGTTGCCTGTATTTATCTTCTAATTGTTGAGGTACCACTCAAGACCCTTCAGGTTTTGTGGACAGAAAATAACAAAGCAAGTGCTTGGGAAGTAATAGTGGGTTTCCAATGGATAGTTAATGACTCCTTGCAGTGATTTTATGACAACACCCTTGAAAGAAACTCTAGC